CAGAGAGCGGGGAGCACCTTTCATCGCTAGACTGTGAGCAGGCACCGTGACCACACCTTGTTGGGAAGTTAAAGTGTTTGTGACGGTCCCTTGTAGAGTGCAGTGTGTTTTACATATGTACTCTAGAAACATGCATGGAATACCTGCTATATGGCAAGCACCCTTGGCCTGAATGACCTCATCTTCATAGCAACTCTGTGAAGTGGCTGGCATGCCTGTTTTACAGATGAGCGAGCTGAGGGTTGGAGAAGGCATGTGACTGGCCCCCAAAGGTGTCACAGGTTGGACTGAGATCTCTGATTTTGCCTTGGCACTGCCTAGCTGGTGTGGTACCAAATAGCAGCGTTTAAAACCTCTGATCTCACTTTGTAGGTGCTGTTTGAAGAAAATCTTTCCCCATTTTTCTCTCTCTGTTGCAATCTTGTTCAACTTTCAAATTCTAGTCCAGATAGCAGGCCCTCCATAGGGTCTTCCCAGAGTCCCCCAGCCCTAACTCATTGTTTCTCCTGCATCCATGTCATCTTAACATGAGTCACAGTTAGGTTTGCACATTTTTGCCTCCCTCACTTGTCAGTCTTCCTGCCACTGTGCAGGGTAAATAGGAGGTGCTCGTTAAAGGTTTAGCGAAATGAACTCAGCTGTAGGCTCCCAACCTGTACCTAATACAGAATTTATTTCTTAATATCCCTTCAAGCCATGGCCCCTGCACCCAGGGAGGGGGAGATGAAGGAACTGTCTGGTCTAGGGAGAATAGAAGGCCCCCCAGGACCTGTGGGAGCCGGGAGAAGCGGGGTGGTGTTGGGAGCTCCATTTAGGATTCGGGTACGTCCTCCAAAGTTGCTGGTCACTGGGGTGGATTCTCTGCCTTCGTGTGCTAGTAACTGGCCAGTGGTGGGGGCTTGGGGCACCTCCTCCCTTCCCAGGGGCTTGGGGTTTTTGTGTAACACCAGTGCTCCTGAGGGGACCCTCTAGGTCAACGCTGCCTGGTGGCCAGAGGGGCATTCCGGGCTGGCAGTGGGAGCAGGAACATGAGGGCTCCTGGGGTGGCGTCACTGTCGGATGTGAGGGTGTGGGGCTGGTTTTCCAGCAGCGTAGAGGCGCCTCCTCCATCTGTCTCAGTTATGGAATTCTTCCATCCCCAGCCGCTCTGCCAGGCTCATGATAAGGCTGGTTTCTGTGTGTGTATGTTTCTTCTCTCCGTGTTGGAAAAACTCAGATATTCCAGGCATGTTTGTCAGCAGCTTTTGCCCTCAGCCAGAGGGGGCTGCCGAGCCACAGCCACGGATGTTCCAGGACTAAGCCATCGCCATGGCTGGCAGCTGTGGGCCAGGGCAGGGATAAGCCAGAGGGGCAGAGGGGCCTGGGCCACTTTCGTTGGAAGCATGTGTGCATGTGTGTGTGCACAGACACGCCTGTCCCTCCTCTGGGCCTCCGCTGGTTCCTCTCATTTCTGTCCCCTCTCACTGTCTCTCCCTCTCCCTTCCTCCCCATCCTTCCCTCCTCCCCTCCCCATCCTTCCCTCCTTTCCTCACTCCCACTCTTCTCCATCCTTCTCTCTCGGCCTCATGAAAGCTCTAGGGAAAGGACGGGACTGCATCAAGTGCCCGCAGTGATTCTGAGCTTCCAAGAATACACTGGAGCTACTTCAGGTCACGCTGGCTCGTTCCTCACCACCTCCCATCGCGTTGCCAGATTAGGGAGTGTTTTTGGTGTGTGTGCGTGTGTGAGATGAAGCAAAATGCAGCCAGGAATTCCACCCTTTGCAAAATCACTGAAGCAGCTTGGAAGTGAACCCCGGACGACCGGCTGTGGAAATCCTCTGGTGCTGTCCCTGCCGCAGGGAGGCGGCCTCAGAGAGCACATGCTGGCCCAGGAGGGGGGCCAGGCTGCTGTCCCTGAGACCGGCCTCCCCAGCCTGTGGGCTGGTGCCTGGTCCGGTATCCACTGCTGCCCACGGGCCCGTACCCGCCGTCCATACAGCCTCTACTGGAGGCTGCAAACTGCCTCTGTGTCCTTGAACTTGAGAGCTTGTAGGAGAATCACAGGGGAAACATCAGGGCCACACCCTCACAGATGGAAATCAGGAGGTGGGGAGGGCCCCCAAATCTGCGTTTTGAACCAGAATGCCTGTCTGTAAAGAGGAAACTGCATAGATTCTGAGAGTTGCAAAAACCATCGCCCTGAGGCTCCAGGGCTCTGGAAGCGGCAACAGCCCCTCCAGGGCCCCCTGCACGTCTTCCCTGCTTCCTTCCAGGTGGCGCCTTGAACTGAGCGGCCGTTTTAATGGCATGTTCACCATCGATCCAAATGCTGCATGGACACTTCCCCGAGGTTTGCGACGGACCTGAGCCACCGATGGGCCAGTGGGAGTCAAGGGCCCTGGTTTTCCCACCCAGCCTGCAATAATGGCCTCAGCCATGGGAGGCGGGACTGGGAGGGTGTGCAGAGACCCCAGGGGGTGTTTTGGACCCCTTGTGGAAATGCAGAATCTGTCCCTACCCACAGCTTTGAAAGATGCTGTCTCCATTTTACAAATGAGGACTGTAGGCATGGCGTTTCAGTCCACCCTCCACACAGGCACAGGTGTCTTTACCATACCAGTTGCACTTGACCTAAAAAAACCTGTTTCCATGGCTCCCCGCAGTGACACCTGAGTTCCTTCGTGTGGCCAAGGAGCAGTTTCTGGGTCTGGCTCCGCCTGGTCCTCAACGCCCACTTCCCGCCTCAGCATGATCTGCAGTGACCCACATACCTGCCGTTCCTTGCACGCCGAGGCGGGTGTCGGGCCCCCTGCCAGGGATGCCTCCCATGCCTTCTCTGCCAGGTAACCCTGCTCACCTGCCAAGACCCCACTCTGGAGTCGCCTGCTCCCCGAGTCCTTCCCTGACCCCTGCCCGCGCCCTGATGCCCGCCCTCTGACAGTGGTGACGCAGGCCGCCCCCCGAGCTGTGCCTTCCCATCTCTGCCCGCTCCCGTGACACTGAAGGGCCCTTCCCCATTGGGGTGAGCTCAAGGGCGGGCACGGCACCCTAGCTGCCAGTAGCTCTGGTTCCCCTCCCAGAGCCTGGCACCCAGCAGGTGCCCCGTTGACGTCTGGGCACCTGAATGGGTGCTGCACTTGCTTCCTGTTAGGAATCACCAGAGAACAGAGGTCATCAGACATGGGGTGGGGGCGGCGTCCCACCAGGCTCTGGAGGAACTGGGCCCAGTTCCGAGCTCCCCGCGGAGAGGGCATCAGGAGCCCCGCTGGGCCGGGAGCGGGGGGCGCCCGCGTCAGGCTCTGCAGCACAGAATCAGTGACGCTTCTGCGGGCCCCTGCTGGTCTTTGCTCATGAGCTCACAGAGCCTGGATCCTGTCATTCCCCTAAAGCTGCACTTGGCTTTCGGGGATCCCATGGCTCCACCAAGCATACAGGGTCCTAGAAGCTGCCGGGAAAACCCGCCGTGGGACGTCCCTGCAGGGCTGCTGAGGAGGCGGGAGTGTCGGCCTACACTTCCCGCAGGCGGGGTGGGGGGGACTGGCGGGGGCCCAGTGTCCCATGGCTGGCTCCTGGGAACCCAGGACCTGAGCCCGCCCGGCCCGAGGCCCAGAAGGCACCCAGGAAGCCTGCGGCAAGCACACCCAGCAGCCTTCCCTGGGTCTTTACAGGGCGCTGGTCCTCCCAAGGAGGAGCGGCCCAGACGTCCAACTCCTGCACCCAGCTTTCCTCAGTGCGGAACAGCCGCTGAGGACGCGGAAGCTCCCGAAAGACAGGCAGGAAGGATTCCTGGGTCTTCGTGCTTCAAAGCGCCAAGTAGGGCTCCTCGCTTCACCAGAGAACAGAGGTCATCAGACATGGGGTGGGGGCGGCGTCCCACCAGGCTCTGGAGGAACTGGGCCCAGTTCCGAGCTCCCCGCGGAGAGGGCATCAGGAGCCCCGCTGGGCCGGGAGCGGGGGGCGCCCGCGTCAGGCTCTGCAGCACAGAATCAGTGACGCTTCTGCGGGCCCCTGCTGGTCTTTGCTCATGAGCTCACAGAGCCTGGATCCTGTCATTCCCCTAAAGCTGCACTTGGCTTTCGGGGATCCCATGGCTCCACCAAGCATACAGGGTCCTAGAAGCTGCCGGGAAAACCCGCCGTGGGACGTCCCTGCAGGGCTGCTGAGGAGGCGGGAGTGTCGGCCTACACTTCCCGCAGGCGGGGTGGGGGGGACTGGCGGGGGCCCGGTGTCCCATGGCTGGCTCCTGGGAACCCAGGACCTGAGCCCGCCCGGCCCGAGGCCCAGAAGGCACCCAGGAAGCCTGCGGCAAGCACACCCAGCAGCCTTCCCTGGGTCTTTACAGGGCGCTGGTCCTCCCAAGGAGGAGCGGCCCAGACGTCCAACTCCAGCACCCAGCTTTCCTCAGTGCGGAACAGCCGCTGAGGACGCGGAAGCTCCCGAAAGACAGGCAGGAAGGATTCCTGGGTCTTCGTGCTTCAAAGCGCCAAGTAGGGCTCCTCGCTCTTTCCCACCCCTGCTGGAGCCACTTTATTGCACACCCCTTCCCCACCCCTAGGCCAGCGGGATAGTCGGCTCTGGTGAAGGGAAAGGGGGGGTACCCTACAAGGGAAAGACCAGACGTGCACAAATCTGAATGCCCTACCCTGGCACCGTTCCGGCTTCCAGGCAAAAAGAGGGGATGTGCAAAACGGCCCATAGGACTGCGCTCAACTGGTATTTAGGACCAGCTGAACAGTGGTAGGGGGTGTGTGGAAAGGAATAGGCACTTGGATGGAGGTTTGGAGGTTAAAAAAAAGAAACAGACCCTCCCTGCCAGTTCTAGGCCCTTACACAGCTCCCTAGGTGACAGGGAGCCAGGAAAGAGACCCCAGCAGGAGGCCGGCCTCCCTGAAACCAGGCTCCCATTCAGGCAAAGGCGGTGAGCTGTCCTGCCTCCATCTCCTCGCGCTTCTCCTCACAGATCCCCGGGCACACCCAGCCTAGAGCCCTCCCTGCCTCCCGAATCAGCCCAGTGACAGCTACCCAGAAAAGAGTCCTGTTTATTTCATTTCTGAAAGCTGCAGGCCTTGACTTCCTCGGGGCTCCGGCCTCACAGGCTGGTGCTAACTGGCACAGCTACTGGTGTCTGCCTGCGAACCCCCAAATCTGGTGGTGCCCCAGAGGGAGGGGGGAGGTCCCCGAGACACAGGCCCCGGCCTTGACCACCCTGCTCCTCAGCTTAGGCTCAGTCTGACCGGAGGGAACGGGACATCAGGCGGTCATGCCCGAGACCTCGACGGTGACCCTCAGCAGCCATGGGTGAAGGGAGAGGTCTGTTTGTTCAACACGAAACACTTGAAGAGGAAGGAAGATGGGGCTGGAGTCGCCTGCCCCACCACACTGGGGAGCCCCCGGGAGGCCCCCTCTGCTGTTCCCTGAGGACTGAAGCCGTGCAAACCGGGGTGGGGGAGGGAGGGAGGGGCGCCTCGGTCCCCGCGGTCCGGCAGGTTCGCTGCACAGCGAGGAAGACAGAGGGGCTGGGCCGGGCCCGGAAGGGGCGCAGGTCAGCCTGGGACCTGGCCGGTGCTCCTGGGCCTGCTGCGCTGCCCCCCTGGAAAGGCCGCGGAAGGTAATGCTGGTGGCTCCCGGTTGTCAGCCAGGAGGGAGGTAGGCTGGTGAGGTGGACCCGGCACCGTCCTGTGGGGTCCCCAGTGCGGGCAGCGGGGCAGTGCTTGAACGACAGTAATGCTTCAGGATCCACGTGCACATCCCCAAGCTCAGATGTCAGGAGCCAGTGGGACCCTGCTTAGCCTGTAAAGAAAGGCCGCGGTTAGCATCTCCCGCCCAGGTGGAGAAGCCGGAAGGCCCCTCCTGGGGCCCCACACCGTCAGCTTTCCGGGGCAGCGGGCCAGTCAGGCCCTCCGCTGTCCTCCTGGAGCGTGTGTCCGCTCACAAGAACTCTGTAGTTCTCACCCCTGGCTACACCTTAGAATCATTGGGAAAGCTTACGAAAATCCCCAACTCCAAGCAGCGGTCAGAGCCTGAGGCCAAGACCCAGGCATCTGTGCCTTTTAAAAGCTCCCCTGGGGATTCCAATGCGGCCACAAGTGAAGAGAAGGGGAAACAGAATTCAGATGGTTTCTTTAGGTTCTTTGGTTACAGCTCTGAATCAGGAAGTAAAAATCCACTAAAATAAAAATGTGAGCTCTCTGTAAATAGACTACAAGAAAAATTTATGTCGGCACTAAAATTAGAACTTCCTGCCCCTAAGGGCTGTTTCGGAAAATCTTTCTAAGAAGCTGTCAAATCTTCTCCCTGTGGGTATTTAAGAGGATGGGTTCTCTTCTTGCCAGAATGCGACATGGGATGCCTCCTCAACCCAAGGACCCTTTGAGACTCTAGGAGCAGCCGTGAGCTCTGCTCCCAGCTTCCCTACTTCCTGGCCCCGGTTTTGGCACCTGGGCCTGGCGTGACCTCAGGGAACACCAGTGAATCCCTGAATCCCTCAGGGAACATTTAGTGAATCCCGGCTCTGTGCACCCTTCCCTCCCAGCACATTGTGTCTGTCATGCCATTTAATCCCTTCATTAGCACCAGGAGGTAGACTCTCTGTGCACGTGGTCGAGCTCAGAGCCAAAGAAACTTCCTGGGGTGGCACTGAGGGTGAGGAGCAGGCAAGGCCACATATAGTAGGAATCTCTGCAGACTCTTAGGTTCCCAGATGGGGAGGTGACAGACAGAAGGATGATGGGGCAGATGTGGGAGGTGCATGCACGCATGTGTGAGCGTGTGTATGTGTGAACGGGACCACCCTTGCTTCTGAGATTGTGTCCTTCCCTCTCTTTGGTGTTCAAACGCACCTTCGAAAGTGAAACTTCTAGATGGCAGGGCTTTTTTCCCCCTTCCAATGGTGCTTACTTGGTAATATGAGAAGCCGGTCACTCTGTTATTCTCCAGCTTTCTTTTGTGAATTTTACCCAAAATCCAAAGGCTGAGCCCCGCGGCATCTGCCAGTATCCCCCCGACTTCCACCCTCCCCCAGCTCAGGAGTGGACTCCCGTCCGACGATAACGCAGAGCCTCTAACTCGGGGCCTGCACCCCGGGCCAGTTCCCCCGGCTCTGCTCTGCGTTTCCTGGGTCATCGCCCCCCTGAGGTAGGTCGTACAGTTACAGGAGCTGGTCTGGGCATCAGGCAGACGCCACGTTCACGCAGAGCTGGACACGGCTGCAAATCCGCATACCTCCCAGCCTTCATCCCTCACCACCCTGAGGCCCACCCACATCCTTCAGACCACAGTGAAAGCCTCCACCTGGTCAGCACACTGACTAACCTGGGGGCAAGGTCAAAGCCCTGGACAATGGACCCCTGTCATCACACCTGCCTGGGCAGGCAAGGGGCCCGTGGCCTGGGGCAAGTGCAGCTCGGGAACCGGCCTCCCTACACCCCGTAGAGTGGGGGCTCCTCACCCTTCAATGATGCGGTTGTTGTCCTGCAGGTCAGACGCCAGCACCTTCATCTCCCCGTAGAGCTCCTGCATGCTGCTCAAGGCCAAGCAAGAGAGGCAGTGCTGGCTGAGGGCCAAGGCAAGCCTCTGCCCAGACCTTTCCTGGGCGCTCCCCTTCCCCCACAGCCCCACCGAGCCTCGTTCCCGCCTCCCGGGCCCGGCAAGAGGCAAAGCCCCTAACACACACACGCTTACACGCACACACCCCCCTCTCTGGCACTTACTGGAGAACCAGGTCCTTCAGCGCAGAGCTGGGATAAGGAGCTGTCGGGGGTGGGGAGGCCGGAGCCCCCTGTGTTCTGTCCTGCAGGAGCTGGTGAGATAGTCGGTCAAGGATCTGAAAGAACCATGCTTTAGTCAGAAGGGATAAGCCAGATCAGGTGCTGGGTGCAGTGGAGGTGTGCGGAGGCATTAAAAATGCGTAACAAAATGATCCCCAGCTCACATCCCTGGAGTGTCAGGAAATTCCCACAAGCCCCTCCTCCTTCTCCTGGGAGCATGGGGTGCAGACTGTCAGGCTTCCCTCTGTGTCTGACCTGTACCTGTCAGGACACAGCTGAGTCATTAGATGCAGAGAAGTGGGCAGCCCAGCACCATCTCTGAAAGAATGTGTCCAGTGCTGGGGAGAGGAGGAGCCGTGTGGGCCTCACTCCTTGAAGGACAGCCCCTCTCTGTCCCTGCTGGCAGAGCAAGTGGCCTCCCAGAGTTGCCTGAGTTGGTCTTTTTAAGGAGAACAGATCAGAAGACCAAGGAGTGTTCGGGTCACCTCCCTCGGGGAGCCTCCCAGGTTGCACGGGGCCCAGATGTCCCAGGGTTTGGGAGCCTCTGCCCTTGCAGTGAGCAGCCTTGTTCTGAGGACAGTAGGAACTGCCTTCTATCCTGGCGGGTCAGAGGCTCTCCACACTGCACCAGAGTGCTCAGAGTGGTCGAGGACGGCTCTGCCCCGAGGCAGGGGAATGGCCCGCAGGCCTCCCAGGCATCCGCCTGGCACGGCCCTCCTTGGCGCGGCTGGGGCCCCAAAGCGCCGCACCTTGCTGAGGCTCTCCTGGGCTCCCTGGGCTTCCGCGTTACAGGCGGCCACGGAGCAGCCCAGCAGACGCAGGTGGTTCCTGGTCTCGTGCACCAGCCTGCAGAGAACAGAGGGGCGTCAGGGCCTGGCAACGCGGAGAGGCTTCCCGGGCAGAGGCTGTGGCTGTGGGCACCCTTGGCCCACGCCTGTCCCAGTAAGGGTGTTGATGAGGGTCCTGGCAGAGCCAGCACCGTGGGGGCTGCACACCCCTCCCGGGCTGGGGCGCACGCGCCAGTGAGGGTAAGCAAGGGCCTGGGTCAGGCTCCGGAGAGGCCAGACCGGCTGCTCTGGGGTGCTCAAACTGGGGCCTCCTGACGCCCCCGTTTCCAGAGTGATGTATATTATCATAGGTGAAACGGATCGCCAGTCCGGGTTCGATGCATAAGACAGGGTGCTTGGGGCTGGTGCACTGGGATGACCCTGAGGGATGGGGTGGGAGGGAGGTGGGAGGGGGTTCCAGGATGGGGAACATATGTAAATACATGGCTGATTCATGTCAATGAATGGCAAAAACCACTACAATATTGTAAAGTGATTAGCTTCCAATTAAAATAAACTAATTAATTTTAAAAAGACTGTTAAGAATTCTCTTCTCTCTCTAAGCAGAAGGAGTGAGCAAGGACACTGCCCCACAACACTAAAGGGACACCAGCTCCCGGAGGCTTCAACCACTGCTCAGCCCTGTGATGCGTTAGAATCACTGAGGAGCATTCAAATACCGACGGCAAGCCCTACCCCAGACCATCAGGTCAGAACTGGGGGTGGCCTCCAGTGGGGGAGGTGGAAGCTGTCTTCTAAGGTGAGTCTCCTTTCCATCCTCAGAACCCGCAGCTCCTGGGAAGCGGCCCTCTCGTCTCAGGGAGGGGCTTGTCTGATGGGCAGAAACCAAGCACTCCCACAGGGGACAGTGTGGGGGGCTCCACATGGGGGCCCGCTGCCCCTGCTTCCCAGGCCACGTGTCCTCATCTCAGTCCCCAGGGAGGGGGCACCCGGGACGATGGAGAGAGTCTGGATTTTAGATGTGGTCATACCCATATGCTAGTCCTGGGTCTGCTATTTACTAGAGATGTGGTACTAGAAGGTACTAGAAACAGCTATTCTGTGAGCCTCAGTTTCCTCATCTGTGAAATGGGGTGATAGTATCCACTACAGAGGGTAGACCTTGTGGGATTAAATGAGTTAACATAGAAATCACCCAGCAGGCTGCCTGGTCTACCCAGGGCCACAAAACCACCTTTGTTGTTGCTTTTGTTCCTTTAGTACCACCTCCCTCTCAGCTAGGGCTCTGCAGAGACCAGGGCTGTCTGAGGCCGGGAAGGGCCAGGCCTGGAGGGTCCTGGAGACCATGAGTTCAGAAGGGAGGGCCAGTGTTACCTCATTCGCTTGCCGTGTGTGACCAGGGACGCCTGGTACTTCTGCACACATTCCTCCTGGAACACGTGCAGGAGCCTTTTGGCTAAATGACTAAAATTCATCCTGAAAAGACAGAAACCGAGGCACAGAGATGAGCAGCCAGAGCCACCTGTGCAGAAGCCTGGAATCCCGGGGCCTCCGGCGCCCAGGTGTCCATCCCCTCGGTCCAGAGCAGGGCCACCTCCCCAAAGGAGGCGACGGTGCTCGCTCACATGCATGGTGGTGGTCAGAGCGGCCAGCACACAGCACACCCCACAGAGGGATGTGCGAGGATGAGGAAACACACACACGCTCGAGCTCAGCCCCCAGAGGGAAGGAGAGATGGGTGTGTGTGTGTGTGTGTGTGTGTGTGTGTGTGTAGTCAGGGGTGCGGGCATGGAACTGGCAGAGTGAGTCCTCAAATAAGTATGAAGTTGGGGAGGCTTCCTGGAAGAAGAGAGTGTGCAGGAGCCAGAGAAGCAGGACATCCAGAGGAAAGCCCGGGCTAGAGCAGAAAGAATCCAGAGCAGGAGGTACGTGGTTAATCAGCGAGGGCAACAGGAAAGAAAAGCCTTCACACGATCGTGTCCATACCAGGAGTCAATCCAGTTCCATCAAGACTGCTGCTGAGAACCCCCCGCCCCGGCCCCAGAGTGAGTGTCCCCCCCAGCTTTCCTCCTGCCCAGCTGTGGCCTGGGGCCAGGGCCCTTTACCGCCTCGTGTCTGGCAGACTAACTGTCCCCTGGCGACACCCACCCTCCGGCTCACCCGCCTGCCGGGGCACAGGCCACTCACTTATCCAGCTTGTGAATCTGCTCCTCGTTGTAGCCCAGCCCTGAAGGAGACAGACAGGGCCGAGGTCACCTATGTGATCGGTCAGCAGAGCAGAATGGCGCGAGGGCCAGGCGAACTGCAAGGGTGACGGCGGTGGCCTGGGCCCTGCCCGACGCTCCCAGCCCCGTGGAGCCAGGAGACGAGCACCCGAGACCCTGCGTTATGAGCGGGCGGAGGCGCCCCCCCCGGGCCAGGCAAGCCCACGCATCGGGGCACCCAGGGACCACGCCAGATGGGCACCGGCAGATGAGATGGGCCCTGAAGGACGTGTGGTCAGCCCTGACCCCTCATCCAGTCCTCCTCCCAGCAAGGCAGATGCCAACAGCTGATGGACCCCATCCCTGGATATTCGGGCTGCAGACATCTGGGCTCTGCAGCAAGGGGTCGTCTGAGCCAGGCCACCACCTCTGGCCTTCCCTTCCCAGCACAGCGCTCTCGCCAGCAGGGCTGGGCGTCTGGCTGCCTCGGCTGCAGCCTAATGCTCTCTGCACCAGGGAGCTGCTGCCCTCTCCTGGACTCCAGGGGAACGGCTTTTGGTTAGTGGCAGAAACAGGACATGACAAGGTTCCTGTAGCTGGGGGTCCCTTGCTGCCCACCCCCATCACTCCCCTGATAGCGGAGTCGCCTCCCTGGCCTCTCTGTCCTGGGCCCGGAGCTCAGCTAGCTGACCGTGAGGTCCAGGCGACCTGGGACAAGGCCTGGGCCTGCCTCCCTCCTGTTATCATAGCAGGGCTATGCTGTAGGCAGTTGATTTTGCCTTATCCATCACTTGTAACACACAGGATGGGAGTGAAGGTAAAGTGACAAAGTGCCCTGAAAATGACAGGAGATTTTCCACAATGCCATCTTTCCCCAGGTGTTGGCTGTGAAGTGTTATTCATCCGGGTTCTTTATACACTTTAATAAAGGACTCACTGATAAAAGTTAAATTCTTCTCGAAGCTATAAAATGGGGTGGCTCAAAGCAGTTGGACCCAGGTTGCTTGGGCTACTTAACTTCCTGTGTCTCAGTTTCCTTATCTATAAAATGGGGAGGTTAACAGTGTCTTACGGTTTTTATGAGCATCACATAAATTTTTAAAAATATGCACAGCTCATAGGACAGTGCCCAGGAGGTGCTCAGAAGTGTAGTGGTCACAGGATGATGGAATTCCAGTGATGCAGGCAGAGAAACCTCCGGAGGGCTCCTAACATCACAGCAAAGGTGGTCAACTGGGTGTCAGAGCAGGCTTCTTGAGCCCACAGCCCCCTGGCCTCAGGGAACAGGGCAGTCTTGGTTTTCCCATCTCCTGAGCTGCACTCCCTCCAAGGTCAGACCCAGAGGCAGGACCGAGGCTCCCAAGGAGAGACCATCATCTTTCAGAAACTGCATGTCCAATAAGGCGGCCGTGTGGCTACTTAGAACTTGAAGTGTGGCCAATGCAGCTAACATGACGGAGACCCTGAATTTTTGTTTTAACTTAACAAATTCGATTAAATTTAAAAACTAAAGCAGTGTTCAATGTTTTTTCCCTATCAAACACAGCTTTATTGTTTTGGTAAAAGTACATGTAATTCTGTTAAAGAAATTAGCTTCTGAATAGAGATGCCCAGTAAGTGTAAAATACATGTGGGATTGTGAAGACTTAGCACAGAATAAGACTGTAAAATATCTCTTTAATAATTGTTTCCATTGATTACATGCTGAAATGACAATTTGAATATATTAGGTGAAATAAAATATGTTATTAAAGCAAATTTCACCTGTTTCTACTTTTTAAATTTTGGCTACTAGTGAACTTAAAATTACAAATGTGCCTGGCGTTATATTTCTATGGGACAGTACTTTTTAGATAATCCTAGGGGTGGAAGAGAGCTTTGCAATCAAGCCTGAGCCCTCAAATGTCGATTTCCTGCCCATGAGGAAATGCTAGCGGCATGTGGGCGAGAGGGTCAGTTCCAGGAGTGTGTTACCTCCCTAACCCCACAAGTCAGCTGGGGCCTCCCCAGGCTCCCCCTCCTGGACCAGTGACGCTAACTGCTATTTCTCCCCATCCTCCCCTTTCTGGAAAGCTTGACAACTTTAGTGAGCCAGAGACCCATGGACAGGGAAACACTTCTTAAACTGTAAAGTGCTTTGCGAAGATGAGGGGTCTCGGTCAGGCCACCTCTCCTTTAGCACCCAGGTCTCAGCGGAGCCCCCACGGGGCAACAGGTGCAGGCAGAAAGGCTCAGGCCCCTCAGTGGTCTGCAGGGAGCCTCCCACGCCTCTCCACCCCTGTACCCCAGGCCAGCTGCACCACCTGATGCTGCTGCGGCATTAGGAACAGCCAGCTAACTGGAGGGAAGGAGGGAGGGGAGAGGAGGGGGGTTTGCTTTCCCCGCGGCTCACCTGGCCTCATTCTGGATTTCTTGAACTGTTTGTAGGTGAGGTACATCTTGTCTAAACAACACTGAATCTGCTGGATGCTGTGGGCAGGAGACAGAAGAATCAAACCGCACGGGTCAAGGGTGAGGGCGGGGAGGGGACGGCTGTGGGGGAAGGGGGTGTCTCCCTGCAGAAGGAGCTGCATTTTAGGGGGCCACAGTTCTGGGGGCCAGTCTGGGAGTGGGGGTGACTCTTGTTTCTAAGTTTGTTTGAGGCATCTTCTGGTTAGCTAGTCATTTCTCATTCCTGTGTTTATTCTCTCTTTCTCTCTCACACTTGGAAGAAGCCAGGCAGGACGCGCGGCAGGAAGGTGGCCTTTGCGCCCAACAGGGCTTGAGAAGAGGTTCTGGGAAGGAGCCCTGGGCCCAGAACAGGAGAGGTGGTTGGAGCGCGTGCCAGAGCCCAGCAGGAACTTCTGTCCCTGGCAAGAGCCAAAGTCGGGCCTTCTGCACACGGAGAAGAACTTAAATCAAGAAGCAACAGCCCTTGTTTGAAACGAGGATGAATGCAGGTCCTTGGTCCTGCCTGTAGACGGGGAATTCAGGAGGTGACCTCTCTATCCTCTCAGCCTGGGCTTTAAGGCCACTACTGTTTCTTCCTTCTCTTTTTTAGGATACCCCCTGTTTGAGATGTTGGGGTGTGTGGGGGACAGTTCTTCCCCACCCCTCGGCCTGTTTGGCTTTACTTCCTCCCTGCAGCCCCTCCCGGGACCCTGTCTCAGCTATTTCTGGAGAGCCCACGCTTGTTCCCAGGACCCTGTGGACCCTAGAACCCTGCCCCACTGGCATCTGGAGTGGACAAGATCCCAGGTCCAGTCTTTACCCAAAAGGCTGGGGCCAGAAGTGTTTCAAATTCAGACCCACCCTCTGATTTGAGAAAGGTCAGCATGCATACACTGTATCGTGGAACCCCCTGGGGCAGTCTAGGGCAGCACCCCATCATCACACACCTTCAACCTTCAGGACCATAAGAACAGTCACTTAAGTGGGATAAAGAAAGACCAGGAAGAGCCTCGTGTCAGTTTAGGTCGGGTTCTGCAGCTAAGCCAGTGAAGAATCAGCTCCGAGGTGTTCAGAGCTTTCTGAATTCAGAATTGGGGACCTGGGCATGTGGATCTGTGCAGACTCTGACTGTGGGGGGCTAGAGGAGGGGGCCACGCCCTGGTCAAAGCCCAAGAGGCAGGCAGGGGCTCTGCACACAGGCCGTGGGGAAAGGGGTGACGGGGGTTTTCCTGTTTGTCTGAACAGAGACTGGGGATTTGGAGGGGGGGTAAATCCCTGGTGCAGGCCAAGCACACGGGCTCTGGAGGTAGGCAGACCTGACCTGGGGCCCTCCACCTCCCCTTTGTCATTTCTTGGCTGTGTCTCGGGGCGGACGAAGCTCCCTCATCTATGAAAGGAGGGAAGGAGTAGTAGTATCATTACTGATTTGAAGATGACACGAGATGAGAGAAGTGGGAGGAGTAGGAGTGGGAATCCAGGGTCTGACCAGAGCAAGGGTTCCAAAGAGGTGGGAATGCGATGTTTCTTCCATTAGAACTACTGCACCTCTAAGACTCGTAATTCACTAACTCCCATCTGGGGCAGGACCCCAGATCCTCGCCTCCTCTGGCAGTCTCACGGGAGGGCCGTGGACAGGCCTGGGTTCCCCGCCCCGACCCGCAGACCCCGGCATCCTCGCCAAGAGAAGAGGGGAGGCAGGCTGAATCCTAATGGGGCCACCGGGCCCTTTGCGGCCTCCACCCTTGCCCCACCTCCAGCCCGCCAAGAAGAAAATCCCACAGACCTTCTGTCCTCATGTACCTGATCCCGGTTCTTCACCAGCTCAGAGCGCAGGTCGCTCAGGGTCTTCTGCGTTTCCGTGATATTGTGGGAGCATCTGGAGAGGACCTCAGCCAACTGGGGACATGAAGGCAGACCCCACGGGGTCCTCAGCGAGGCTCGGATGGGAGCCCGGCCAGACCCCTGCTCTCAGCTCTGCTCCTGGCCGCCCATCAGCCCACCACACTCACATTCCGCAGCCTGGACCTCAGCTCTGTGGTCCTCTTCAGTTCCTGGAGCTCAGGCACCCCGGCCACGCCGCTAAACCTCGAGGGAAGGGTGGAAACAGACGTGAGAAACGGGCAAAGAGTCCGCCTGCCAAGCCGGAGACGCGGGTTTGATCCCTGGGTGGGGAAGTTCCCCTGGAGAAAGACATGGAACCCACTCCAGTGTTCTTGCCTGGAGAATCCCATGGACAGAGGAGCCTGGTGGCTGCAGTCCACGGGCTCACCAAGTCAGACACATCTTAGTGACTCAACAACAACAGTAATGGACGCCAAGCGCAGTCTCGGACTGGATCCTGGTTTGGGGTGAAGCCAGCCAGAAAAGAACACTTGGGGGATAACTAGGGAAACTTGAGTATGGAGGTGCCCTATAGATGAAATGTACTGACCTGGAGGGTCATAAGCTGAAGCAGGCTATAAAATAGCAGGTACAGGGAAACGCCACGCTGGTTAACACACACAGGTAACGAAACCACTGAGAAGGGTGTATGCGGACATCATGCCTCTTCTGTGGCAGGACACAGCATTTTCGGCTCATTTTTGCTGGTCTGTATTTTCTAACTTAGTACAGTTAGCATACCATAATATGCTGTTTTTATACCATAATAATTAGGGAAGGATAATCCTGTGCGTTTTGGTGTGGGAACGGGAGGGCGGGGTGGGGAGGAAGGAGGACTGGAGAGAATCAGGAGTGGGTGGGGGCTCCCTGAAGGAAGCACCACCACACCTGCAGTGTCTAAGGCAGTGCTTGCATGGGCAGGCGCCCCACACAGTGTCGAATGGATTATTCAGCACAGGGATGGATTTCAGGGCATGGGATACTTGTGCAGAAGAGGATGAGTCTGCCCAGCCCAGCTGGACCCAGTCTACCTGAGTCCTAGCCCCGGCTGCCACACCCCTGTCTGCAGGATCTGGGTAATCACTTTATTTTTCCAAGCCTCAGGCTCTTCACCCATATAATGGGGACAGAAACCTCCTCCCTGCTCCCATAAAAGGTGTTTGTGGGATCAAAGAACACATTCACACAAACACAGTCTTTTTGGGGGTGGGGAAGCCCTGGGAGTCCCCATATCGGTCAGCCCTGGGGCCTGAGTGGGACCTGCTGAGGCAGGGGGTCTTCGGTACAAAGGCCAGGGCGCTGGGGCATCTCCAGAGCCCAGAGCGGTGGAGTGCCGGGAGTGAGGCGAGGCTCCAGGCCGGGACCACGGCCCCTTTGTGCCACATGCCTGGGCTCTTCCGACACGCGATTCAGTCACGATACACTCTCTACTGTTTCGGGTTCTCTGTGGGAGGCAGCTATTGTCTTCAGACCTCAGAAGAGCCTGCTGGCCTGAGAACTCCCGCAAAGAACAGGACTGGGAGGCCCTGAGGTCAGTGAGTCCTCTCAGTTTGAGGAGGTGGAAACAGGGACCCAGGTCGGGAAGGCGCCCGTGGGCGGAGGACAGCTGCTCAGTGACAGCCCGGGCCAGCACCTTCCTTCCCTGGAGGCTGAAACCAGCCCCAGAGCAGGCCTGCGCCTGGCCCTGAACTCTCCACGCCCACCACACCTCGGGGGAGACCTGGAGCCCAGCGGGAGAAACCAGCCGGCAGACTCTGCGACTCCAGCCCTGGGGCTACCTGGGGCCCGCACTCTCAGCTCAGGGAAGACGGGCAAACACCCAGATGCTCTCTCTGCACATTTCCTTCCCACTCAAGAACCCACGGTAAATCCTTACTGCTCATTTTACCACGGTCCAACCTCCCAACTCCCAGATGGTACCTAAGAAGGTCTAAGTGGGATCCATGTACTAGTCTCTTATAGTCGCTGCATTTGGTTACATCACCAGTAAGTCAGTACCTAGACTGTATTATCTTGGGCTTTATATTGGGTCAGCACCTCCCCACCCCTCTAGTCACGGCCCCCTTCTCTCTCCCTGCACAGGGCCTTCAGCTATTTGCTCACATTCTGGCCTTAAAAAGTCTCACTTCTTCCAGGAAGACCTCCCTAGTTTCTTCTACCCATCTCTAGTCTCGCTTCACCAGACCGTCCCGCCACCTGCACGTGCCAGGGAAGGGATGTCTCCTCCAGGTAAGTCCCTGGAGGCCTGCTCTGTGTCCGAACAGAGCCCTGCTCAGAGGAGCTTCACCAGAGCACGCCAGCCGATCCCGCTTTCTGCAGCCCTTTGTCTCTGCCACCATCTAGGGGGGCTCAGCCGTGCCAGGGACTCATCTGTAGACCCCCGCCTCCCGCTCTGTGCAAGGCCACCGCCCTGTCTGTCCACTGTCAGAGCTGCTGCCACCAGGCGCCAGGAGGAAGGCAGGTCTGCAGTGCCGACCTGCTTCTGGGGAACTCCCAGGACTTCCCGAGGACAGGGGCTGTGGGGCGAGGGGCGGGGGACCAGGCCTGTCCCGCACAGCCTCTGCTCTCTGTCACCGCCCGTCACCAGGAGCGGCTCCAGCCACCCGTGGGTTCCCCGGGCCGCAGGGCCCCCTTCCAGCTGCACCGCGCGCGGGAACCTGTTCAGCAGCACGCTGGCCATTGGGCTCTTCCTGGGGCTCGTTTCCTCCTCCCCAGTCTCTCCCTTTTCCAGCCCATCACCCCGAACTGGCCCAAATCAGAGGGTGGAGGGTGTGCAGCTCCCAGGACTGGGGCAGGGAGTCCTTGGAGGCGAGGACACGGAGGCCCAGGGGAGGCGGGAGGAGCATGCTGGGGACGAGCCTGCCTGCACCTCCGTCCTGTGGGTCCAGGGGCCCCGTGTGGGTGTGGGCGCTTCTCTCAGAGCCCTGCCCCAGGGCCTGGGGCAGCTGAGAGTCTCACTTTTCAGAGGCCGGACAGGGAGGACAGAGGCCCCTTCTCCTGGAGGCAGGGGGCCTGCCTTGGAGCCCCCTCCCTGGAGGGACTGGTAGGCGGGGGAAGCAAGTGCGGCCAGTTGGCGGGGGGGTGGCGGAGTGGGCGCCGGGGGGTGCCCTGGCAGGGAGGTCGGCAGCTCTGGACGGGAGGAGGCGAAGGGCACTGTTGGAAAGTCCGGGGGAGGAACATACAGAGAGGAGGGGCCAGCCCCGCGCCCGCTGCGCCCCGTCCCGGGCAGGACACCCACCTCTCAGTGCCGAGGCTGCTGCTGAGGAAGAGGAGAGCCATCCTCGTGACCTCCAGCGTCCGCCTGCACGTGGCCTGGAGCATCTCCCTGCCGAAGGGAGCCCGATCAGAGCCACCACCTTCCTGGAACCGAGGGCCCAGCCCCAGGGTGGAGCCGAAGGGGGTCTGGGCTGACTCTCCTGCCCGCCCACCCGCCTCTCCTGCCCGGTCCTGCCCTGCCCCGCCTGGCCCTCAGGGCACTCACACGAACCAGTGCAGCCCCCGAACCATCAGCTCCTGTCCCCCCAGCAGAGTCCGTGCCAGCCGCAGGGCCTGGTAGCCGGCACCCAAGATGCCCTGAAACACACAGCGGGGCAGGGTGACGTCCTGCACCCCAACCCTGCAGGAACCCTCCTCCCTGCCAGCTGGGGGCCGCCCCCTCACCTTAGCTGTGCTGTAATCTGCCTGCAGGTCCACTTTGGGGACAAACTTGGGAATGTCCAGAGCAGCTGTGGATGAAGACTCGGTCAGAGAGGGACGCCCGTCTGGCCCAGGGCGAGGTCTAAGCGCATCTTCCCCGTCCCAGGTCACGCTCGGCCCCCACCTCCTATCGGCCGCCTCCAGCTTCCCAGCTTGCCTAGAGCCCCACCTCCTAAGACTTAAATGCCCTGAATGTGCTTTTTATGGCTTCCTTGGTGGCGCAGCAGGTAAAGAATCTGCCCACAGTGCAAGAGACCTGGGTTGGGAAGATTCTCTAGAGAAGGGAAAGGCTACCCACTCCAGTATTCTGGCCTGGAGAATCCAAGAACTGTATAGTCCATGGGGTTGCAAAGAACTGGACATGACTAAGTGACGTGCCTGAAGAGTTGACTCATTGGAAGACCCTGATGCTGGAAGGGATTGGGAGCAGGAGGAGAAGGGGACAACAGAGGATGAGATGGCTGGACAGCATCACCGACTCAATGGACATGAGTTTGAGTAAACTCCGGGAGTTGGTGATGGACAGGGAGGTCTGGCACGCTGCGATTCATGGGGTCGCAAAGAGTCGGACAGGACTGAGCGACTGAACTGAACTGAAGTGACTGCACAGCCACAAGGCTTTTTACAACTGCAGTCCCTCACTGCCCCCTGGTGCCCATTTTGGAGAACGACAGCCAAGGCAGCAGAAAGGAGACTCAAACCATCCCTCCCAGTCCGTGGGGTCGCAGAGTCCCACAGGACTGAGCGAACTGGGGCTTCCCTGGTGGCTCTGAGAGTAAAGAATCCACCTTCAATGCAGGAGACCCGGGTTCACTCCCTGGATGGGAAAGATCCCCTGGAGAAGGGAATGGTAACATTCCAGTATTCTTGCCTGGAGAATCCCATGGACAGAGGAGCCTGACGGCGGGCTACAGTCCACGGGGTCCCAAAGAATGGGACACGGTTGAGTGCCTAACACACCTCACACTCGGGGGTTTTAAGGTGAATCCCCCTCCCAGCCTTGGGGACCCTGAGGAGGAGCATGAAGTTGGCATCATTCAAATGAGGAGTGATTATTTGCTAGAATTTGCAGAACAAAGCTCTGGGCCCCTGACCGCCTGCCCTTCTCTTCAGCAGCTTGGGCCCCTACTTCCTGCAACACAAACTCAGAGGCTTCTCATCAGGCATGGACTGTGGACAGCAGGTGAAATCCAGCCCTCCCTGTTTCCCTTAAGAGTTTCTATCACAGATCTCTGGATGCCATGACGCAGGTTGGTCAGGCCACCAGCCCGAGTCCCACAGCATTTCAGAGGCATACATGGAATTAGAACCCAGAGATGCCTCCACACCCCGGGGGCCCAAAGACATACCCACAAAACAAATGAACCAATATCCTGGATTATAAGCCTTTGGCCCTTGGAAGAGAAAGTGAGGAGAAAAGGTCCAGCTTGGGTGGCCCTACTCACGGTCCCTGAAGGCCAGCCCCTTGGGGGGCTCGCTGGCCATGCTGAACAGGGTCAGGGGGCTGCTTGCTGTGGTGTGGGCGATGTGCTGAGCAGAGAGGCCGGGCTCGAGGACACACAGGTGACCCTCAAAGAGGTACTCCTGGTGCTGGGGGGCCACGCTGGTCTGCTCGTACACGGCCTCCAGGAAGATGGCTATCCTAGAAAACCAGGAACAGGCAGGAGAGGAGGAGGCGAGGGGTGAAAACAGGCAGGAATCAGCTCGAGGGTGACCCACGCCGCAGCTGAGACTTAGGCTCCGCTTCTCAGAGGGAGGGACTGGGTGATTTTCTCTCCAGGGCTGGGAGACAAAGGGTAGAGGTGGTGTCCTGCAGCGGATGGAGACAGTCCAGTGTCCAGCCTCTGCCTTCACACCCCCTCCTGCCACGCTCCCTAGGGAGCCTCATCCCCTAGGGTCACCCAGGAGGAGGACTCACCTAGGCCACCAGCAAGCTCCAGAAATAAAGGGTTCTACAAGCAATCCATTGGGGAGTGTACTGGCGCCGAGAGTGAGCTTGCGCGTGCACACACACACACACGCACACCCCTCAGGAGGTTTCTAATGCGCGTCAGCTTTGTGCTGCTGCTGCTGCTAAGTCGCTTCAGTCGTGTCCGACTCTTCGCGACCCCATGGACTGCAGCCCACCAGGCTCCTCCGTCCATGGGATTTTCCAGGCAAGAGTACTNCAGTCGTGTCCGACTCTTCGCGACCCCATGGACTGCAGCCCACCAGGCTCCTCCGTCCATGGGATTTTCCAGGCAAGAGTACTGGAGTGGGGTGCCATTGCCTTCTCCGACGTCAGCTTTGTAAAGGTTGCTAAATCTCTCCAGTTCCCAGCAAGGAACACTGGATAACTTGACGGAACAAGTATTTTCACAACCTGAGGTTGGACCCAGAAGCTTCGTATCTAACCACCCCAGAGCCAGCCGGGACAGGCCCCTGGGCCCGGGGCGGGCGCGGGGGGGAGGGGCGGGGGCGTGGCCCGTGCACGCGTCCGCTCACGTGTTGTGCGCGTGGACGTAGACGTGGTGCAGGACAGCCTGGGGCAGGGAGAAGACGTGGACCACGCCTCGCTGCAGGATGTCGCTGGTCTCCGCGAAGAACTGGTCGAAGCCCCAGCACTTGGCCTGCTCCGCCTCCAGGATGTTGGCCAGGATGGGCACCAGCTGGTTCTGCAGACCCCTGCCTCCCGGGGCGTGGGGACAGTCAGGGGCGGGGCCAGACTCAACCTCCGGAGGAGGCGATGGGGCCTCGGGTGAGAAAGCCCTGGAGAGCCAGGACCGAAGGGGTGGGGAGGAAAAGCCAGAAGGGTCTTCCACTCCACGGGAAGACACTGGGGCCGGGAAGTGAGAGGGGCGCTCCCGCTGGGCCAGGCCTCAGCAAGAGGAGCACCCAGGGCCGGGCTGGGGTCCGCGCTCCCCTCCCGCGGGCTCTCACTCACATGGACAGCTGGCAAGTGATGGGCAGGGTGTAGCTCCACTCCAGAGGCCCGTTCTCCCGCCGCTGTGTGCCCGCAATGGCCCCGGCTGGCTTCTCCGTGGTGATGCGGTACCTGGGGGGGTGGGCAGGACCAGGTCATCAGGACCCCCCACCCTGCCCATCACGCTTCCAAGGGAGGACAGACTCCGCCTGGAGGCTCGGAGACTTGCTGTCTTCTCTGTTTCCTCTGCCCCTCACCGCTAGTTCGTGCCGCCTGCCTCCGCCACGTGCCTGTGCTGGGCTTGGTCCCAGTCACCTCCCCTGCACCCCACAGTCCGCCCTCCCCCCTCCTGAAGTCCAGCTACCCTGCCAGCCTGCATCCAAGGCAGGCCTTTCCCTTTCCCTAACTTAACACAGGTTCTGCCCGGCTAGACCGCTGAGCTGAAGGAGCATCGACCTTTCTGCAAATCCACTTTAAACCTCTTTGCTCTGGTGGTGCTCTCAGTGGGAGCACTCACAGTCCCTAGCCTCTGGATGAGACAGCAAGAAACCCCAAGGGACCTGGGATCAGGAGGCTGGATTCTTGTCCCCCACCCCCGCCCGTCCTTTGCCCTGGAAGGCTTTGTGACCTTGGGCAGATTGCTTTGGGAACCTGGGCTGAGATGTGGTCAGCCCAAATAGGGTAGGGGTGGGGCTGAAGGGAAGCCCTGGACTGGGATGTGGTCTCCCATCGGCTGGGGACAAGGCTTGGCTTCTTGTCTGATGGACCGATGTCCAAGCATCTAAAGGGAGTGTGCGTGTGCTGGGGGGTGGGCCTGGAGGGCCTCCGCTGAATGGGGGGCCCAGTGGGGACCAGTGGGATGCCCAGGCCCACCCCCTGCCCTGTGGGTCACCGTGGGTCCCTGTGATCACCGTACATGATCTCCTTGTTGCGTCGGGGCCCGCCAAATGGGATGAAGGGCAGGCTGCCAGTGGCTGCGTGGTACAGGGTCACCCCGATGCTCCAGAGATCCACAGTCACCCCAAAAGCTTTCTGCTGGGGCTTGCGAAGCACCGCCCTCTCGTACATGTCAGGGTGCTGTCGCCAGGGAACCAGAGAGCAGTCAGGGAGGGGGAGGGGGCGAGGGCCTGAGCACCCTGGCCCCCCGCCCGCCCCCCCATTCAGACTGCCTTCTCCCAGGAGAAACAGAACCGTCAGAATGCATCTCCTAGGTCATCTCCAAAGTGAGTGTGCCACAGGCTTATCAGCCTCTGCTCTGGGGAAAGCGGTGAGCAGCAGGGCTCCATCCTCCATGAGGATCTGATCAAGGGCTTGATTGAACCAGGGAGGCCTGGGCAGGGGGCCTGGCAGGGGGCCTATGCAGGGGGTCTGGGCAGGGGGCCTGGCAGGGGGTCTGGGCAGCGGGCCTGGCAGGGGATCTGGTCAGGGGGCCTATGCAGGGTTCTGGGCAGGGGGTCTGCAGGGGGCCTGGACAGGGGGCCTGTGCAGGGGGCCTGGGCAGGGGGTCTATGCAGGGGGCCTGGCAGGAGGTCTGGGGAGAGGGTCTAGCAGGGGATCTGTGCAGGGGGTCTATGCAGGGTTCTGGGCAGGGGGTCTGCAGGGGGCCTGGAAGGGGGTCTGGGCAGGCCTCAGCACTGACCTTTTGGCCTTGGAGAAGAGAATGAATTGTCCTGGGGTTATGGTTAGGGGTGAGGGGTGACCCTCCTGGACCCAGGGGGACTGGACGGGGCCCCCAGAGGGGCATCGAGAGTCCCAGGCGCTCACCAGGTACTCCTCGGTGCCGTAGACCGAGACGAACTTCTCGTCATCATCCAGCTCGCGGGCAGCCCCGAAGTCCGTCAGCTTGTAGATGCTCTGGCCCTCCTCGCCCAGCAGGCGCATGATGTTCCCAGGCTTGATGTCGCGGTGTACAATGCCGTTCTCCCGCAGGTGGTTCATGCCGGCCACTGCCACGGATGCAGGGCTGCTAGCGGCTCCAGCAGGGGCCGGCCCAGCGGCGGAGCCCGTCCCGGGGAAGGACCCATGTGGACAGAGGATGACACCCAGGGGTCCCCAGGGCCTCAGGAACAGCAGGAGGAGAGAGATGGACACGGGGCAAGGGGCAGGGGTCTCAAGGATGTGGAGTGTCGGGGTTGCCTGCGGTTCCCTGGGAAACCGAGGGGGATGGTGGCTCTGCTTCCCAGAGGAGGGCACTCAGTTACTCCCCATCTTTCTTTTCTTTTTTTTAAATTGTGGTAAACTACACCTAACAAAATTTGCATTTTAACCATTTTTAAATGTGTGTGTCAGTGGCGTTAAATACATTGAATGGCAGCACAGCATCATCGCGCGCGTCCAGACCGCCGTCAGTGCCCGGGACAGGACTCTACCCGTGAAGCACTCACTCTCTACGCCCTCAGCCTCAGCTCCTGGCAGTCACGTTTTTCTTAGAGTCGCTATGGACTGAATCTCTCTAGGTTCCTCGAATAAAAGTAATCATACAGTAGTTGTCCTTGTGTGGCTGGCTTTTTTCACTCAGCAGTGTCTGAATTTCCTTCTTTTTTAAGCTAACTAGTTAATCCGTCACTTGCACGCTGCACACTTTGTTTATCCATTCATCTCTCTGACGTGTGGATTGCTTTTGCCCTTTGGTTATTGCTATTCATTATAGCCAAGAGGCAAGAGCAATAGCCAGGAGGAGATGGTGAGAGACAGGGAGGCAGTCCAGGGGGTCACTGAGCGTCAGACACGACTGGGCAACTGACAGCAGCAGCATTGTGAATCGTGCCGTCATGAGCGACTGTGACCAACCAGTCTTCAGTTGTGTTCTGGAACTGGAGTTTTAAACGGCCAATCTGCAGGAAGCAAACCCTCGGGGTCTGCCCGTTCACTAGCATCTGTCCCAGGTCTGGAAGCTTTTTCCAGAAACACCACACCCCCCTGGGACTCTGCCTGCCGCTGAGGGCGGGGTCTGGGGCTGGCCTGGGATGCGGAGGGGACGCCCCGGGGGTCAAGGAGGGGCTCACCCACGCAGCGCAGCACCACCAGGAACTCGTCCTCGGGCAGCCCGAAGGCGTTCTCGGGGCTCTCCAGCACGCTCAGCAGGCTCCCGCTCGAGCAGTACTCCATGACCAGCACCTTCTGCCGGCCAGCCCCCTGTGGGAGAGGGACGGGGTCTTGGGGATGGCACTTCTCTCCTTCCCCAAGCTGGGGTGGCTCGGCCACGGGCCCAGAGCCCCCGTTTTATAGGTTTCCACTTCTAGCTGGCCTTCCCTCCTCTGACCTCAAACTGAGCCCAAGATCACCTTTTCCAGGAAGCCTGCCTTGATTAGGCCCCACTCCACGGCCTGATTTTCCTGTGCACTGCCCCCAGCCCCTTGGCATCCTTTCCTCCTCTCTGGGTGAGCCACTGATGAGCACATGCCCAAGTCTCTATTATTCCGTGACCTGACTGGGTCAAACACAAGACCGCGCTCCTCTGACAGAGCACCGGACCCACCGTCTCCTCCACCGCGAAGAGCTTGATGATGTTCTGATGGTTCAGCTTCCGCAGGACCTCAAACTCCCTCACCTGCACCTCGCGGGGCCGCAGGTAGCTGGCCGTGTTGAAGACCTTCACAGCAACCAGCTCCCCGGATTTCTGCCGTGGGGGGTAACAGAAGTGGCACCCCTGCCCCAGGGCGCACACCCCCCTCCCAGTTTCCATTCAGACTCAGAAGAGCTAACCCCAGGGACGAGCCAGGATAGCCTGGTTGGGGATGGGGGCTCCCACTCTCAGCTCCTTCCCCTTCCCAGGGGTTCCACAACGGGCCTGCCCGCAGCACTGGGAGAAGGCAGGACCTCGGCACACCTGATACCCTGCAGGGGACGATTTGTTGTCACTGCTCTTGTTGCTATTGGCAATAACTACGGTGGCAGCTAACTCTCCCCGGTGTTAGCAGCACCGTCCTGTCTGGCTTCAGCTCTTTTAAGTCCAAGATGGTGCAGTGCGTCTCATGTACCCAATACAGCCCTCAATGTGATACAGGCAGGATAAATCCAAACAGGTCCCCCTGCCCCCGTGTTGCTCCTAGATTTGCCACCAGCTCCCCTGGACGTTGGCTCGCGTCTTCGTCCCTCTCTCTCCAGCCCCAAAGTGCGCCCGATGGGCATCACCCCAGAAGCCCTTTTCAGACCCCCGCACCCCTGCCCTGCCTCAGACAGAGCAGATCAGAGGAGCCGGCCCAGACAGCCCCAGCCCGATGCCCACTGGGGACCGACTTCCGGGCGGGCCCCTACCTTGTTGCGGGCCTTGTACACGCTGGCCGTGGCCCCCTGCCCCAGCAGGTCGTCCGTATGCCACAGGTAGTTGACGGTGCTCTGCATCTCCCGCCGCAGGCTGGCCGCCGCCTTCCGCCCTAGAGAGCACACTGGTGTCCAGGGCAGCACCCTGACCCGGGATGGACCCTGGTGACCCGGCCAGCAGCTGTGCCCAGGACCACCCCGTTGAGGGGCTCCACACAGTCACTCTGGAGGCCAGGAGGCAGGGGCAGAAGTGGAAAGCACAGGAAAATTGAGTAACTTCCCCCAAAAGAAGCCCCGCTGCCAGGCCCTCAGCACACAGCCTAGCCCCGTGCCCCCCGCAGGGCTTTCTCCCCTCCCGACTCCCCTCGGCCTTGTCATCTCCGCCCCAGGCAGGCCACGCTGCAGGGACAAGCCTGTTTCTCTGCCATCTCTCCTCGGCACTGGGAGTTCTGGGTTTTGGCATCCAGGCCCGGGATTGTCCCAGGAGGCAGAAAGAGTGCTTGAAGGAAGGCCTCCAGGTCAGACAGCGTCACCCACATTGCCGCAAATCTCCAGGATTGCAACACGAGCCGGGGCCTTCCCCAATGCTCCCGGGCCCACCGCTTCCTGTTCCACGGCCAGCAGGCCAGCCTGGCCAGGTCAGCGCTGCTCGTGGAGGCAAGCGCGCTGCAGGGAGCATGTGTGTGAGTGAGCATGTGTGCATGTGTGTGTGTGTGAGTGAGCATGTATACATGAGTGTGTGTGTGTGTGAGAGTGAGCATGTATACATGAGTGTGTGTGTGTGAGCATGTATGCACGGGTGTGTGTGTGTGAGCATGTATGCATGTGGGTGTGTGAGTAAGCATGTATACATGAGTGTGTCTGTGTGAGACAGCATGTATGCACGGGTGTGTGTGTGTGAGAGTGAGCACGTATACACAAGTGTGTGTGTGTGAGTGAGCATGCGTGTGTGGGTGAGCATGTATGCACAGGTGTGTGTGAGCATGTATATGTGTGTGAGAGTGAGCTTGTATGTATGGGTGTGTGTGTGAGCATGTATGCACGTGTGTGTATGAGAGTGAGCTTGTATGTATGGGTGTGTGCGCATGTATGCACAGGTGTGTGTGTCTGTATGCACAGGTGTGTGTGTGAGAGCGTATATGTGTGTGTGCGTGTGAGCATGTATGCACAGGCATGTGTGAGCATGTATGGGGGTGTGTGTGAGCATGTATGTATGTGTGAGAGTGAGCTTGTATGCACGTGTGTGTGTCTGTGTGTGTGTGTGTGTGTGTGTGTGTAGGGGCGGGGGAGGCAGGAGACCATCACATCCAGAAGCTCCAGCAGCCTCGGGAGGATCTGAAACCCCTCTGGGCTCTGTTCCCCATATTTGCCCCCACGCCCTTCTCCCCAAAGGCCAGTTCCTCTCAAGCAATTGACTGCAGAGAGCAGGCTCAGGAGTTACATTCAGGGCTGCTCTGAAGAGCGGGCCAGGGCTGGTGTTCTGGGATGACTGGGGAGAGCATGAGAGGGGCCCCCACCCCCTCGGGACTAGCCTGGGCTGCTTCCTGTTCTACCATCTCAAAGGTGGTCAACCTTAGGGTCGCCATGCCTGCAATCCCACGGCTCCTTAGCTTTGAGCCTTCTTTCTGTAAGCCTTTTTGAAAAAAAGTGAATCTTAAGAAGGTCAATCCCTTGAGCCAGAGGCCGCTTGGAGAGATCAGGGGTCAATTCCAGTTTCAGAAGACGGATTGGTGTTTGTGTTTTATAGAAGCTGCTGAGGGGATGAGTCTCTCTGAAGACAAGGTAATAGCTCAGCAGAAATGAGCTGGTGAGGTTTTCCCCTGCGAGGCTGTGGAGGAGTCAGCCCGTGGGCCTGGGCCTGAGAAACCAGGTAGAATATCCTGAAATCAAGGCGAACGGTCCAGCCAGGGGAGGCTTCCGCTCCTCCAGAGTCCTCCCCAGGGCTGGTGCTGGGGCCTGGCGCAGCTGTAGGTGCGGGGAAGGGCAGTGTGGCGCGGAGGGCAGAGTCCCACGGGGCTGGCGTGCCCTGGGCTCTCTCCCGGTCCCGCCAGGGCTGTGACCAGGAGCTGACGGCAGCACATCTGGTCAGGTGCGCGTGCTCCGCGGCCCCCAGCGCAGCAGCGGGTGCCCAGAAGGGCGGTGCTGGGACGGATGCGGCGGTGCTGCGAACCAGCTGCCCCACCCCCTCCCGCTCCGTCTCCAGGCGCGACGGCGGCCAGAAGCACTTACCCTGTGCCCTGCGCAGCCCGGATCAGGCAGAGACTCTCGCCGGCGAGAGTGTGCTGTGCTTTCTGTCTGTGGCCAGTCCAGGAGCTGAGCTGCACCGGAAAGAGGAGGGCGGATGAGAGGCGCCCCCGGGCGCTGTCGATTCTCAGCCTCCATCAAAGGCCTCCCGGCCCCAGCCCTTTAACCCTTTCCTGTGTCGCCCTCCCCCACAGAGCCGGGGCTTTCCAGCCTAGATGATCCCCGGCTCCAGGAGACTGTCCTTGCCACTCCCACCCCCCAGGGGCTTGAGCCCGCGAGCAGGACCCTAGGAGCGGTGAGAGTCAGCCCCAGAAGCAAGGCAGAAAAGGAAATTAGAGAGGCAGCGCTGGAGGCTGGCATCCGACGCTTGGAAGGGAGCGCCGGGGTTCTCCTCTGCACCATAACAAACCCTCCCTCCCTCTCAGGGCCTCCCAGCCGTCGTTTGCAAGGGTGCCCATCTGAGATGGTACGGGGCACCTCGGCGGGGGGAGGGGCAGCAGCCTCAGATAGACATGGGGAGGGTCAGGAGCCTGCAGAGCCGACCCCAGCTGGCCAGCACCCTGGCACTTCGCTGATGGCTGTCCTGCAGCTGCCTGGCTCCCCCCTGGCCCCCATTCAACCCTCTTCCCCCCAGCGTGGACTCTGCACACTCACCCCATCTCGGCTGTGTGATGGGCAGGCTGTGGGACCGCGTGGCACCCCCAGACTTTCAGGGCTTGCAGTCCTGCACGGGCTGCACCCGTTGCATCCTGGTGGCCGCAGGTCTCGGAGACCTGAAGATGGGCGGCTCTGTGCAGCCCCAGGAACTCAGCCCTCGGCTCTCCGCTCTCTCCCACTTCCTGATTTCGTTCCTTCTCTCTCTTAAAGAGACAGAGGCAGCCGGCTGCCGCCACCACCCCGGCAGGAAGGAGAAAGAGGATGCTCTGAGTTCCCAAGTGCAGGAGACAGAACCCGGGTCTGAGCCACGAAAGAGGCCAGGCACTGAGGCTGGGCAGCTGTGGTGGGCCACGGGCTGCTATTTCTGTATCTCCCTGTGGTTCGCCCGAGCAGGGACGTTTTTGGAACTCAGCCCACAGTCTACAGAGCAGGTTGGGCCAGTTAACCTGGGAAAGCCAGCCTCCCACACCCAGGAGCCCAGGGAGGTCCAGGACCTTCGGCCAGCCACTTCTAGGAGTTTGGTCTGACTCGTCTTTCCAGGGAGCCTGCAGAGGTCTGCGAGGAAGCGCCGGAGCCCAGGTTGTGCCCTCCAGGGTGACCAGGCGCACAGCACAGACCCCTGCCAGACGGTCTTCTCACCCAAGGCCTGAGGACAGTCCCATTTACCCCGCCGCGTGTGAGGGTGACAGCCCACTTGGGAATGCCTGGGGAACTGCACAGTGCCGTACTGACACTGAGGTCGCCGAGGTTCACACACCTTCGGGAGTTCGCCCATGATCTTCAGAGACGAGCTGAGGCTGGACCCAGGTGTGCCAACAGCCCAGTCGGACTCCAGATCCCCAGGTCAAGTTCCAAGAAGGCTGGAGAGGTCTGCCCAGCTCTGGCCAGCTCCCAGATGGCAGTGGATAAGAAATGGTTAAAGCCAGGAAATTCCATGTTTCAGTAGAAAGCTGGAGGGACTTTCCCACGCCACACCTGCTGGTTTCCTGGGCGGCCCCACCCCCAGCCCAGTGACACCGGGGACAGGAGCCGGTGATCTCAGAGGTGCCTCTCCCTGCCCCCACCCCCGCAGGCAGAGGTACTGGCGTTACCCAGAGGGGCTGCCCTGCCGCGCAGCAGGACCAGGAGAAACGTCCCTCAGACCTCCTGTTCTGCACTCAGGATTCCCAGCTTTTCCCCTGCCTGCTATATGGTAGAACTTGTACTTCCTTGAGACCCTCTGATTTGGCGGGGCCATGTGATTTCTATTTTCTTAACTTACTTTATTGTTTCCTTTCTTTAAATTTTTTTGCTGTCATTCCCCCCCCCCTTTTTTTTTTGCTGCACTGGGTATTTGTTGCTTTGCATGGAGTTTCTCCTATTGCAGCAAACAGAGGCTACTCCTGGTTGCTGTGAGGTGGCTTCTTTTGTTGCAGGGCACAGGCTCTAGACGCATGGGCCTCAGTAGCTGCCGCCTGCAGCCTCTAGAGCTCAGGCTCAGTGGTCGTGGCACACAGGCTTAGCTGCTTCTGCAACCTGTGGAATCTTCCTGGACCAGGGATTGAACCTGTGTCTCCTGCATTGGCAGGTGGATTCTTATACACTACGCTGCCAGGGAAGTCCCCACGTGTTTTCTTAACCAAAGCATTTAATCGCTGATTTAGAAACCCCGCTCCCCCTCCCGCCCCCCGCCAGCCCCTGTGACAGTGTGACTGTCAGATGTGGTGATCAGTCTGGGTCCTTGAGGGACCATGGAGAAGAGCCCCCCGCCCACCCCCTGCTGGCCCACAAGGAAGGGATGTGTAACCTTGCTGAGAAGTCTACCTTTGTTGTTTTAAGTCACTGAGATTTGCAACTTCGCCAGCCTATGACTAAAGCTCGCCTCATCTGCCCCGAGTGAGCCTGTCTGGTCCTCACCAGCACCCTTGCTCACGGGTGTGATGGCTGTGTGTCTAGCATCTACCAGGAAGCTGGCCCTGTGGGCGCTGTGTGCTGAAGACGGAAGGGGAGACCTAGGCGCCCCCAGTCCCACTGCCAGGAGCGTGGGAAAGAGGCGACAGCAGGGAGGGACTTTGTGAACTTGGCGGAGGGGGGCTGCAGGGAGGAGGGACCGTTGATGCCCAAGGAGGGTTTGTGAGGAGAAAAGATACTCAGCAGACTCTGAAGGGAGGAGGGAGACGAGGGGGTTGGAGGTTCCGCATTGCAGATGGCGGGAAAGCCTGCAGAAGCCCAGGGGTGTGCGGTGGGTGGGGGGCTGCCACGAGGGGACACTCCGAGCTGCGCTGGCCTCTGGCAGGTCACACTCCTCTGTGGACAGAATGAGCGAGTGTCTGGCCTGTGGTTTGGGGCCGCTGGTGCCAGCTGGGCCCCTGTGGCAGTCAGGATGCTGGCGGGCTTCTGAGGGAGCCTGTGAGAGGCCTTGTCACATTCTCCCAAGTGGCTCTGAGCTGTCATCGACGTAGAAGTGGCAATTCAGAGGAAGCAGAAGGACCCGAGGTGTGGTGCTGGGGGTCTCTGATGGCAGCTCTCAGGGAGAAAGCGCACGTCTGCTGCTCCAGAGGGAGACGGAGCGGCGTCACGGGAAGGACAGGGCTTTGCCGTCTGAGGTCTGAGTTGCGACTCACTCGCCTTGAGCAAGCCCTTGACCGTTCTCATCCACTCGGTGTGGGAGCAAAACGAGGTGCGGGGCCCACTGCTCAGCTGTTTGTCAGCTGCCTCACCTGCCCAGCGCCTTAGAGGAGAGGAGAGGCAAGGCGAGGTGGGGCTTTGTGGAAGCGGGAGCAGCGAGTCCTCAGCAGACTGAAGGGCTGGCGAGAACTCGGAGGAGCTCTGGGCAGGGGAAGGAGGGCCGGGCGGGAGAAGGTGTGGTGGGGGCTCACCAGCCACCGTGTGTGGTTGTCCTTGGTGTGGAAAAGGGAGCGCTTCACTCATCCTCCTAAATCTCCAGAACTCCTCCTCACATCCCCTCCCACGCGCTCACCTAGAGGCTTTGCCTCTAACTTTGCTGGAAATAAAGAAGCGATGGACAGGCAACACCTTCATCTTCCCACCCCACCTCCACTCCCCACCTACCCTCCCCCTGAGATGGATGAAGCACAGCTTCTCTGGCTGGGCGGCCCTTCCATCTGTGCTCTGAAATTTCACCCTCATTCTACTGAGTCCTGCCCTTGAGCAAACCTGCCTCCACCTTGTCCATTTTAAAAAGAAAAACCTGGGCCCTTGACACCTTTTGATGTGCCCCCCCAATCAAAGCAGCCTAGAGAAGGAAATGGCAAGCCACTCACGGATTCTTGCCTGGAGAATCCCCATGGACAGGGGAGCCTGGCGGGCTGCAGTCCCTGGGGTGGCAGAGTGGGACACAACTGAGTGACTAAGCATTCAAAGGAAAGCCTTGAATGAACTGTCAGCAGTTTGACTCCCTGTCCCGACCCTTCCCGTGTGCTGCCAACTCACTCCGGTCAATTTGTTTCCTCTCTAAGGCAGGTGCTGTTGACAAGCATGACCTTTCTCCACTGGCCTCATCTACCCCGCAGCATACGACAGCCAATCCTTGTTGAAGCACTTCTCCCTGGGATTTCTGTGACTCCCCAGCCACCGGCCTCTATCACTTGCTCCTGTTGCCCTCTCTGCTGGCTCCTTATTCTCCGCTGGATCTCTAATTATTGGGGCCTTCTCTTTCCCCCCATTTGTGTGTTCTTCCCGGGAATCTCCTAGTTGGAATACGTCTATAACATAATAGCTTCTAAATTTGTGTTCAGGTGTGACCTGTCTCTAAATCTCCATATCCAAGAGTTATTTGATATTTCCTCCCGGATGCCTAATACTCATTTCAGTTTGACCAGGCCAAGCAGAATTCTTGAGTAATTTTCTACTTCTTTCCCCTGGCACTCACTATCTTATTATTTTTAGGGTAACACTTATTTTGCTTATTTCTCTGTCCTCCCTGAAACCAGAAAGCTCTATTATCTGTTTCTCCTGTTCAATACTGTATCACAGTGCTTGGTGCACAGTGAGGCTTAACTGACTAGTGAAAGTCTTTGGCATATGTAATATGCAGGGTTTCTGACTCCTGAGTGAAAGAAAGCTTCATATGCCCTTGGATATACACATTTAAGTTAGATCATCATAAAGACTATTTCCTAAATTTAGACCCACCTGGTCTTCTTTTTTGGTTTCTATTTAGACGAAATGAGTGTTTTTTGACGGTGTTCATTGTCACCAGTTTCTATCATGCTCCCATCAGAATATGTGAGATAAGGGGACCCCAAAAGGATCACCCGCCTATGCCTTGCTGCTGCTGCTAAGCCAGTTCAATCGTGTCCGACTCTCCGCGACCCCATAAACGGCAGCCCACCAGGCTCCCCTGTCCCTGGGGGTCTCCAGGCAAGAACACTGGAGTAGGTTGTCATTTCCTTCTCCAATGCAGGAAAGTGAAAAGTGAAAGTGAAGCTGCTAAGTCGAGTCTGACTCTCAGTGACCCCATGGACTGCAGCCCACCAGGCTCCTCCGTCCATGGGATTCTCCAGGCAAGAGCACTGGAGTGGGTCGCCAGTGCCTTCTCTGGCCGATGCCTTAGGACTCCCTGAAAAGGCTTTTTGGGTCCTCTGCTTGCAGCGTAAGCACGAGCTCCATCTCACAGCTTGTAACCTACTCTTAGGAGTGATAACTCATCCACAGCACAGGGAGGCAGAACAGCTTCAACTCTGACTTAACCAAGACCAAGGGCCCAGCAAGAGAGGATCAAGGAGCTTTATGATAAAATGAGGGAGAAGAGATGACATGTTAGAAGGGCATGAGAAAGCAAACAAAAAATATACCAAAAACAGGTGGCAATGGCAGACCTAAGAGAGGATGTAACATGTCTGGGATAGGATACCTTGTGTGACCCTTGAACATTAGGTATGAGATCTGATCCACCCCAGGGGCCTCTAGTATTAGAATAAGCTCACTAAATATAAGTGTGGGCCCGAGGGGGCGCCAGGATGCATTTCAAATGATTACCTTTGAATAACGTCACCCTTGAATTTATGATCTGCTAGAGTCAAAATCTGAGGGAGAAGAAAGCATCGCCTCCCACCCCGCGCCAGCAGCACAAACACGTGCGTCAGCCCTCCTTGCAGAGGCAGGGGGCTGCCAAGGGCAGAATGACCCTGGGCTTTGATTGTGGAAGAAATAAAACCTTCAGTCAACCTCGGCTGTGG